TAGTTCCGATCTCTGTATCTGCTTTCCTCGGTTCCCATCGACTGTAACTGCTGTCCTTGGTTCCCCACTCTCCCTCGTCTCGTTTCGTTTTTCCTGGCAGTTATTTTGATTTAAAAATAATTATGTCCTAAGAAATAATTACTAACCAAGGGTGCTCGAAGATTAAACAATCCTCCTTCACCCTGCTCGTGGCATAAGGTTACATTTCAATTAATGGTCAGCGGAGTAATGAGCCGTATGGGCGAAGGGGTAATAGTAATAATTAATAAATAGGATAAATTAATTGTCTCGCTTTATCTGGCGCGCTTATATACAGGAATAGAGGGCGTCTATCAAATACTGCATTATTCGTGATGTTCCCCGATCCTCCTAGGGTCGTAACAGTATTTATAATATGTCTTCTCATTACTCCAAACACCTTGCGTTGTAGATTATTATATAAATTTTATGAACTTTATAAATCTATCGTTATCATATATCACAATTAGCATCTCCATCCAGCAAACATCTAATTATAACATTAATAATATAGCTCACCCCCCCCCCCCTTTTATGGCGAAATATTTGGTCACTGAAAAGAAATACGATAACGTGATATTTTTGTAATTGTTTTTGTCTAAGTTACATCAAATAGGTCAACTCTTGTAAATTCAAATACCTATTTTATAGCATTATATGTAAATAGATGGGCAAATGTATAGGTAAAGATATGTCATAACACAGTATTGTATTTTAGAGCGAGCGTCAGTTACCTCAGCGTAGTGCAATCTTTTACGAAATTAACCTTTGAAAGTTACAGCCAGTGGTTCGTCCTTGAGTGTGTTGTTACCACATAGCAACAAAGTGCTGTATAATACTATAGCGAATAAGCGTCAGTTGCTGCAACGTGGTGCAATCTTGAACAAAGTTGAACTTTGGAAGTTACACTAAGTAAAACTGAGATATATACGAAACTTGATAACGTCTAACAGTTTTTCGTATTTGCTTCAGTAAGATTGTGTGTTAACTTCACTTTTTCAGGATTTTGTAGTTTGGGCCAAGCGCTTAACTAAACCTTAAGTTAAGCCTTTTTATTAACAGAATTCAACGCTTTCGTCACATGAACTCTAGTGCCAATCAAAGTGAAGTTTTTCTGTCTGAAAATGGCTGTGTGAGTAAAGAGGGTAAAAATTCGAAGTTATTTAAAGACAAAACGTTTCAATACAACCTGTCAGGAGAAAGTGAAACCAATCACAATGAAGCAGTAAACCTTTCGACAGTGAAATCGCATTCTTTGACAGAAGGCTTGGAATCTTTAAATATAGAAGACAGTCGATGTAACAAATATGAAGCTCGCTTGAAAGCCAAGGAAACTCACGAAGATACAGGCCTATCAGAAGAGAAACAGTCGCCATATTGCAGTACTAGCAGTGGGCAGTGTTTCAAATCCAGGCATTATAGACCAACATTTGTTTCAAAATCATATCCAGTTGGAAAAACAGAAGAGCAAATTAATATTCCAAAGGGTGTCTGTAGATATTATTGGCAAAATGGATTTTGTAGATATGGCAAGTTTTGCAGATATAGACATACTCCTACTCAGTTTAAACCTAAAGGCCCAACAACCCAGAAAAATAAAAGACGTTTGTCAGAAAGTTTTACAAACACATGCAAACCTTCATCAGATTTAGCTGAGGAGAAGACCTCAGTTGAAAAGGAACACGAAGAATTTGAGGAAGTTAATACAGACCATAAAAATGATACATGCCTTCAGTTTTGTACCAATACTGTTGTGGAAAACAAACAAAACATTCCAAAGAAAAGGAGAAATTGTTATTTTTTCAAACATTATGGATTTTGCCATTATGGAGATAGATGCTATTTCAGACATTCAAATTCCAAAGCTTTGCAAGCTAAAGATTCTCTCCATGATTCCAAGAAAGCCTCCATGAAGCATTATGAAATTTCTAATGATGAAAAATTAATGGGGACAGAATCATTAGAGCTTCAGACCTTAAAGTCTGATGCATCATCTGAGCTACCAGTATGTAATATCTCAATCCAGAAGGAATGTTCAGAACAGTCTTCACACACTGAACACGAAAAACCTGATGGAGGATCAACTTCCAGTGTTAAAAAAGAGATGCTTGGAAGATGCCAAATGTCTGTCCCTCTTTTAAGAAAAAAGCTTGTGTTAGAAAGTTTGTCACCAGATGATCTTATGGAATTAAGGTAATTTTTGTTTTTCTTCTGTTACTAATAAAGTGACTAATGCTTATAACTTTTTACAATTAATAGTTATTAACATGAGTGATTTCTTAGTATCAGAAAATTAAAACTAATATAGCTTAATTATTTGTTGTTCAATTAATTAATGGTTCCATTACTCGATAACATTTGTTTAATCAATTAGTATGCTGTTCCTCTAACCACTGTATCTACAAAGCTGGTGGTGGGTTCTGCCAGCCAATTGTCTTCCCTCTAGTCAGAAGTTCAAAATTAGTTACAGTAGTAGACAGATAATTGGAAACACAACTTTTGATTAGTTGATTATTTGTATGACAATTGTAATTTAGATTAATTGGATGGTTTACTTAATGTAGATGCTGCTTTTAGGTAATCAATTATATCATTCAGTTGTAGTCATATTAGATGATATTGGAGGCTTTGTTGGTCATTAATTATTGTCTTGAATTCCATGTGCTTGTTCTTTTATGGTGTACATATTTTTTGCTTAATTACTAGGGAGATGGAGATAATGCAGCTTAAGAAAAGATTTCCTCACTATCGTCAACTTTGTGATGTGAACAATAGTAGTGAATCTACATTTCTTGTAAGATTCATGCCGACTGATCCTGACTGGGTTAGTAAATTGATCTTTTAGTACTTGATGTTGTGAAAGTATTTCTTGATCCATTGCTTAAACATAAAAGTCATCTCTCCCCCCCCTCTTGTCAGTTTTACTCCTAAATTCAGGGACTAGAAGAATCACATGTTTAATTTTGAAGTAAACCTATATGTATTATTTATACATACATATATATATATCATTAATTATTGTGCTTATATTAAATATAATTTAGATGTCTTTACTGGCAATGTTCTTATAAATGTAACTATGTCTATACATGTACATATTATACATTTTGTGTTATTTTCTTTTATTCAGCCATTTGATTTGAATTCTATTGATTTGGAAGTAGTATTTGAGAAAGATTATCCACAAAAGGTATGGATTTGTTTTGTAATTTTAACTTCTTGAATAATCAAAAGTTATGGGAATGTAGCATTTGGTTACATAAAAATTCTTTATTTCAAGTTGTATTATGTTAATGGAGAAAAATAAAAAAATTCTGAAAGGATCCTCCATTCATAAAAACATTAGCACAGTGAGTAAGGTTGGTCACTGCCTGAAATGATCCTGTACCTTTTATTTTCTAAGATACAAATTTGGAACAAAGTAACTGTTCATTTAATGTCAAGGTTTGGTCTGTTTCTTCAAGCTTAAAAAGGTGACAAACGTGTTATTAAACAAAAATTGTTTTTATTGTAAAGTTTTAATAAAGGAACTATTTTATGTGACACTGAGTGATCTGTCCTTTTATAGGTTTTAAGTTTACACATTTCTGTTTTGTCAATCTTACTTATTATACACTGTCTACACTCAGAGTTCACAATTTTTCTAAATGTTTTTCATGACCAGCCCTGTAAGGTGATGGTTGTAGATGAAGATGATGTTCTACCAGAACAGCTGCTAAGGTGAGTACACTGTTGAAATGTAAGGTTGATACTTGGATTTATACAGAAAATATTCTTTGTGCAAAATCACTTGAACTTAATTTTGATATGGAATAAACATGTGCATACATTGTCTGGTATTAATGTGAGGCAGGAATAGTCCACTTGTGTACGATTTTAGAAACTTATTTAACAAGTTTTTGAATTTGTGTGAAATCAGGAAGATGTTTGGCTAATTCTCGTGACATATTTCATTAGAAGGATGAATATCAGGAAATGTAATTTTTGATGTTAATATCTAAACATAAGCTGATTTTTTCCTTTTAAGGTTTATTTGCTCTTTACAGTACAGATGTTAGATTAATCATTAATAGCATAGAAGAAATACTTCATATATGCATTTTACTTAATCAAAATTTTTTTTTTCAGATTCTTGAACAAGAATATCCAGAAATGGTTATTTCAGAGAAATGATGATTTGCAGAAAGTTGGGGAAGTTGGGTTGACTTTCAGACCATTTCTTCGTTGGTTGGATAAAAGCTTGGAAGACATGTTTATAGAAGGGCTTAGGATGGTGAGTAATTTGTTAAACTTTGTCTTTTGTTTTAATCTTGATGATACATTTGAATTATGAACTTCATTCATTATCAGTTGTGTGATCATTATACAGTGTTAGTTACAGTTACATAAGACTGTGATTTTGAATAGAAATTACTGGACTGTAAATGATAGGTTATAAATGAAACTCCACCTGATTCACGAGTTGTTAGTTATGGATATGTATTCAATGAATTTGTAGTAATGTTTAACTTGCATGATCAGGTAAAGCTCTAAAACTCGTCATGTGGTAACATTGTGAAATTTGCTTACAATAAAAAAAACTTAGAATAATAAGATAGCACAATTATTGATAGTATTACAAGAAGGGAAAATATTCTGATTAAATATTGTATCGAATAATAGCTGGTAAGAAGTAAAAAAATGTGTAGGCCAAATCTCATGTTATGTTTTAATTATTAATTTTTCATAAACATAAGGAGATTATAAAATGAATCGAGTTAAAAAAGTCCTATTGTGAATGATTTTGATAAATGGACCCCTATATATATACAGGTGAAACGTGAGAGAGAAGCCCAAGCTGCAGGGATTGAGTTTGTACCATTTGAAGAACTTTCTCATGGAAATAAACAAAATATTGATGGTGACCATACATATGAAGACAATACCACAGAGCTGAACCAAACTGATTATTCAAAAGAAAGTGAAAAATTGGAAGAGAATAATAAAACTCAAGTGCTTGAGATTGATGGAAGAGAGAATACTGGCTCCAGTAATGAAGTTCTGTCTACACCTAAACGAGGTACAGAGGTGAAATTACATAATTTACAGCTTGGGGAGAACGTGGCAACACTTGTATGCCAGAAAATTGATGTAACAGTCCAGTGTTCTAGATGTAAAACAAGACATGAGATCTCTACCCCATCTCGACATAACAATGTTATTCAATGTACAAAGTGTCATCACGTGCAGCAGGTGGCTTTTCGTGCATCAATTCTTCATCATTTTTCACCAGTTCTTGGTTACTTAGATCTCGTAGGTTGTCAGGCTGTTGACCTCCCTCTGATGAAGTGTGAACTGAACGTGTGTTGTCTTAACTGCAACAAGCAGATGACTATGACAGTAAGAACATTGATTTTTGTTTATTTATAAATGTGTAACTTTCAATATGGATGCTGATTTTTTATCTTTGAATGTGTTCAGAAAGAATAAGAAGTTTTGAAATATATACTGATTTCTTACACATCATTATTGAAAAACATAATATTTGTAAATCAGATGAACTAATTCATGGGGTTTTACTAATGCAGTTGGGTGTTATGCATAAAAATAGATGCAGGCAACAGCACACAGTGGAGACAAAGGACTAATCAGTCATGCACATTGTTAGAAATTAATTGTAACTCTGTTTGATTGGATAATAAGCACTACATAGCATGACCTGTATGGTACAAGTGCGCCTATACCATGTGCTTTATGAGCCCCATGTTGTGTTTTTCAAGGCTATTATTTAATGGATTTTACTCACTTATGCTTGCTTGATTTGTGTGTGTGTGTGTGTATCGGCTGTTTAATACAGAAGTTGGGCACTTGTGCTATGTTGTGTAAAATGCAGGTTAAAAAGATCTAACACAAGGTATATAGTTTTTCATGGCAACTGAAAATACTATCATTTGTTTCACACTTTATCTAAAGAGACCTAACATAGCTCTCAAAAGTTTTATCCAACAGACAAACTAATAAAAAAAAAAGTACTGTCTGTATAAAACTAAAAACTGTTTTCCAGTTATATTTCATTCAATATCTACTATAGGATCATGTCAAAAACTGTTATGGAATATTAATAATACATGACTTTTGACAGATGATTTTATTTTACCATGTTATGTGTAGTCTGTTTAGAATAGTTTAGGGAGGGAATACACAAATATACAAAAATGTCCTTTTTATTTTGATGATGTAAGAATTCCTCTTTAGTAATGTCATTTTATGTAACAAATCACTCAAAACTCTAACACTTAGTTGAACAAAACTTAGTTTCTTTAATTCAACTGTTCAGTAGATTTTTGACTGTATTATTGTGTTTGCTAAGTTAAATGTAAATATGTTTGTCTCTTATCCTTTTAGTGAATACATTATGGACAAGCTACGAACACTTGGTGCCACTTTTGTAATGTTAAACTTGCCTGTTTTTGACTGTATTATTGTGGTTGCTAAGTTAAATGTAAATATGTTTGTCTCTTATCCTTTTAGGGAATACATTATGGACAAGCTACGAACACTTGGTGCCACTTTTGTAATGTTAAATTTGCCATCTTTGCTGATACAGTGAAATTTAGTCAACTTCAACAAACTGAAAGATTTGGTAAGCCATGTCTTTCATTGATGTTACTAATTACTATTTTTTGAAGTAATATATTCAACACAGATTAAAAATAAATGTCAAATTATGGTGATAAGCTTGAAATAGCCTGATGATGAAACTTCTGTATAGATAATGTGTTTAGTTGTGATAAACTTATTATTTCTTCTTACAGACAAAGGTCAAGTGCAGTTGATTCGATTACAACGAAAAGACAAAATAGTAAAGGACCCTGTTATTCAAGATGGAAAACCTCTACCTGAAAATGGAACTTGCAAGCATTACAAGAAAAGCTTTCGTTGGTTAAGGTACAATATGTTTTTGCTGTATAAACATAGCTGAGGATACTTGAGTTGTTAAATATAACAAAAGCTAACTACAGCATCATTCAAAAATCTCTACAGATTAATAAGGTTAAAAAATTATATGATGCTAAAGTGTCTCGCATACGTAGCATTTAAATTGAACAAGATGAAGGTCTGTAGTAAGACATAGATTAACTTGTCACTAATGATTAAAAAGATGAGTTAAAATGTATTGTAAACTTTCAAATTATTGACTTGTTTTTATGCCATTCATTGCTGATAGGGTCCACAAATTGCGTTAAATTTAGTGAATTCATGTTTTTGCACGTTACAACACTTGATGTCAAAACTGAACAAAAAATATTGATGAAATGTCTCATTTTTTATGTAAAATACTTAGGGTACCTCACTAGTACTTAATATTAGATATCCTTTAACCAACAAAATCATGGAACTAGAAACAGTTTGTTTTAAAACAATTTATACATACGTGTTTAACAGGTGATGGAGATCCCTCCTAGGGGTTTTTAAGATGAATGAAATAAAGATACAAGATAAACATATGTTATGGTGGAATAAAAGTACATCTTAAAAGTGTTTGTTTCTAACTTTGCATCATATACTGAACTGAAGACATTTGAATATTAAACAAAAAAATTTGACTGTTTTGGAAAGAGTAATAAATATGTTGTAAAAATCAAGGCTTTAATCATACTAAGCTGATCAAAATCAAGGCTTTAATCATACTAAGCTGATCGAGATTTTTATTTTGCTAACAAGAAAGAATTGATAGGTAAAGAAAAATCTCTTCAAAAACCAATTAAGCATTTTTTTCTTTATTGTTATTTTGTGTGAAACTGTATAAAATATTAAATGTGGTATCCTGCAACAGGAAAATGTCAGTTTTTATCATTTTTCATAATGAAAGAAACTGATCCAGAAATTTGTATTGAATTACTAGAATTAAATTATAAATAATCTTTATATGCTAATATAGTATTAGGTTTACATGAAGTGTGTTGTTAAGTGAATGTGAGCAAAAACACCTTCAAGTTACTTGTCCATATCAAGCTTTTAGTAGACAAGGATCTCATAGTGCTTTCTAAATATTCTGCCCAAGATGTGAGCAAAAACTTATGATGTATGTTTTTAGGTTTCCCTGTTGTGGCAAGGCTTACCCGTGTGACTTGTGCCATGATGAGAAGGAGATGGACCATGATATGGAGCTAGCTACTCGAATGATATGTGGTTTCTGTGCAAAAGAACAGGTATTATTTTATTTTTATAATCTTTCTTACTTGGAATAAAGTCTATACTGTTAATCTTTTTGTGTGTGTGTATTGCTACTTCCTGATGTCTCGGTTAATGATTAATATTTCACTTAGTTTGCCTCATATTTATTGTCCAACTCCAAGCAGCTAACAGTTTTTACCTACTTGTATCTTAGAAAGGCAGAGGAAATGTAGGACATTATGTTCTAGTGCCTTATTTTTTGTGTTCTAAAAATGCTACATTAATTATTCTTTGGACAACCAACATAGTGAGAAACATAGGGTTATTGATATCTGAATGCATGTGGTCTCAAGGCTAAAGTATGTACTAAATTTCTTGTTTTTTTATGCATATTTTTTTATTCATTCTTATATATATATATTTTTTTTTAACAAAACTAATTGAATGTGAAAATTATAAGCTTATTAGGTTAGCTAACAAAACTTAAAAAAAATTTGTGATCACTTGGTAGGGAAGCTGGTTACATGATTGTAACCTGATCCATTTGTTTACCCTAAACACTGAAGATATATTGGTCACTGTGAAAGGTTCTAAGGTAAAGCAATAAACTAAAAGAAAGTTCACAAACAAATCTTTAGTAAAAATACTACATTAAAACATCCTGATTTTTTTTTTAGTACAACACTTGTAATTCTTACTGAAAGCTTGCCTAATTTTATGGAAATACACCTATTACATTTAAGAGTTAAAGTATGTACAGCAGTTGTTCCCACTCTTTTTTCACTGATGACACCCTAACTCATTCACCTTGATTTTTGCTGCCACATGCAATATTTTTTGTAGTTTCTTTTTATGTTAATTATTAATCATTTGTGGATTTCTCGTGACACCCCTAGAAACTTGCTAGGACACAATTTGGAAACCACTGATGTATAGTTTCATGATTACATGTTTATTCTAAAGTTGGTCAAATTTACTGAGCCTATATGCATAGAGTTAACATGCTTGACCACGTGACCAGCTAAGTCATGTCCAGAATTGTTTATACTAATAATGCTGCTTATGTGACTGTGGTAAACAAATTTTTGTATGTTCATGGAACTGTTTTTCATGGTAGAGTAAGTTACTGTTTCATATTCATCCTTTGGTTTTGTTTAAATTTCATTTGAATATAACTGATGATCTGTTGGTTTTTTGTACATTTCACTGGTATGTAAATGATGATTTTTAAATACAGATATTTGACCATTGTTATGTTTCAGTGGTTATCCTACTTTATACAGTGTGTATAGTAATTTGGAATTGTAGTATTTTTCTGTTATTTATTTTAACAACATTTTCTCCATAGCTGTGAACTCAAGATGAGTACCATAACAAATATCACAGATTTATTGTTGTTGTTTCTAATACTAGTTGTTTTTTTTTACATAACAAATGTCATTTCTTACTTTGTAGGCTTATGCTAGTGATAAGCCATGTAAGAGATGCTTCTCGTATATGACAAAGAAACGGACTGCTTACTGGGAAGGAGGCAAAGGCTGCAGGGAAAAAAGCCATATGAGCAGGTATACTAAACTAGATGAAATAATATAGCTTATATTAACAGATTTCTGAATATATTTGATACATAAGTTTAAATTCTTGACAAACCACCTCACTTTTTAAAACTACATAAGTACTTTTGTACATTTATTGGGTAATGCCAGCTAGAAAATATAAGTGACACAGAAAGAAAAATTTGTTACAGTTATGGCTGATGAAACATTTGTTTCTACACCTCCGCTTTTAAAAGGCTATAGATAACTTGACCCGAGTACTGCTTTGCATGGAAAGACATAGCTAGACTTGAATTTCACTTTGCTGTGGAATGCTCTGAGATTCAACTTGCCATTGAAAGCTGTGTCCTGGTTTGTGTTTCAACTTACTGTGGAAAATCCTAACATGAACTGAGCTTTACTTTGCTATGGAATGTTCATTTCTGGTCTTGCTAAGAAAGCCTTGTCCTGGTTTGAGCCTTACTTTAATATGGAAGCCTTGTCCTGGTTTGAGCTTGACTTTTCTTTGGTACAAATGTCCCTCTGTTATACAAACTTCATAGTTTGGTGCAAGTTTTTGTTAGTAAAATATGGATTAGCTAATTTTATGGGATGAGACCTATCTTGGTCTGAGCTTCAACTTGTTTTGGAAAGTCATAGTTTGGTTTGAACTTCACCATTCTTTAAAAGCTACTGAATTTAACATTTGTGAGAAAGTTTGATTTTAAGTTCACTTTTATGTAGTTTCATTTTGCCATGGAGAATAACTGCTTAGCCTATATACATGATTCCCAGAATACAAGTTGATTGTCGTGTTGTATAGTTGCGGCCAGAACTGTAATGTAGTTGATTGTCGTGTTGTATAGTTGCGGGCAGAACTGTAATGTAGTTGATTGTCGTGTTGTATAGTTGCGGCCAGAACTGTAATGCAGTTGATTGTCGTGTAGTATAGTTGCGGCCAGAACTGTAATGTAGTTGATTGTCGTGTTGTATAGTTGCGGCCAGAACTGTAATGTAGTTGATTGTGGTGTTGTATAGTTGCGGCCAGAACTGTAATGTAGTTGATTGTCGTGTTGTATAGTTGTGGCCAGAACTGTAATGTAGTTGATTTTCACTTTTCATGGTCTGTATATGTGATTCTCAGTTCTAAGTTGATTAGTATAGTGTAATCAAATTACTATTTAACTCTTTAGCCAGAATTGTTTGTGTTTTGAAGTTAAGCACAAAGCTACACAATGGGCTATCTGTGCTCCGCCCACCACGGTATCGAAACCCGGTTTTTTAGTGTTTTAAGTCTGCAGACATACCACTGGGGGGCTTTAGCAGGAATACATAAATATAAGTACTTTGAAACTAGTTAAAATGTTAAGAGAGTGCATTCTGCTGTTTGTCTTAATTAAAACAAATTCCATTTTTTTTGTTTCTCTTGAAGGGCAAGGTTTTAGTAAGCTTATTTTGTAGTTTGTGTTGAAATATTAACAATGTGTAAACTGGGTTGTGTAACTTTTTACCCTAGGGACGACAAGAAGAAATACAGTGGTAAAAATAAGACTGTGTCTAGGAAACAGTCAGAAAAGACCAAACCATCTGGAAAACAGAAGTAATTGGACTTTATGAACAATGGTTACAGGTTATTTTATCATAACTTTTGTATTGTCAATTTCTATCAATGACTCAGAAAATGAAGTAGTTAATGTTAGCTTATCCTGTATTTGTATTTCAAAAGATCTAAGAACATTGTCTCAGTGGATCAAGTTGTGAAAGATATTTCTGATTTTTTTATGATTAATTGATAAAATTTTCTTATACATTATTAATTCCATTGGTTTGTAAGGTTTTAGGTGACCTGGGTAATTATTTCTGTTTTAAATAACTAGAGTATATGTAGTAGTTGGTTAGGTATATATACGGTTAAGTTAGGTATGTGTTGTTGATGATTTTATGTAACTTACCTTTAAGATTTGTTTAGTCAGCTACAGTGTTTGAGAAGTTCAAAATAGAAATAGTTTTTGTAGTTGTAAAAGACTGATTTAAGGTTATTTAAAAATTAATTCTGAATAAAGAAATCGGCAATTAGGTTTGCATAAGAAATATTAGCAGTTTTGTTTATATACTTTTAACTTCAGAAGAAGAAGTACTTTGTGTATTTGATCTCTTTTTTTTATTGGCTTATTATGTAAATTGTTTTTAGCTGTTCAATAAAACTAGCTTTCCCAGTAATTGGAGAATTCAACAAGTGTATTTCTTTAGTCCCTAGTAAGCGAATTTAACAAACACCTTTCATGACTTGTTTTTTGAAAATAAAAAAATTGTGCTTTTCCAAGTATAAATAAAACAAATTTTGCAGTGTTTAATAAGTAGTCCTAACTTTGAATACTAATATGTGAAAGAAAAGTACATATGTTCTGGAAGTGATATTTTTGTGTGAACAATTTCTTATAAAAGTACAGGAAGTTGTTTTGGACAGCACTGTACATCGATTATAAATTTTCTGAGCTAAATTAAATCAGAAATAATGAACTTTTAGAGATTTGGAAAAATATCTTTCATTGTTGATTAAGATACATAATGAGATGTACATAAGAATGGTCATCCTGTTGCTAAAACTATAAAAAAAGCTTAAGGCTTGAGACATAGTAATGATATTATTTTTCTCAAGCTACAAATCTCAATTTTGACTCCATGTCTAAAAGCTGTGATATTTAGGAGAGGAAATAATGTCAACACCATGTCTCAAACCTTAAGCTTCTTTGTTTACTTTTTTGTAATTGCATTTTCACATTAAGCTACCTATCTTGTTTCTGTATTTTGTTTGAAGATACCCAATTCCCCCTTTTTTAAATTAACAATTTTTAATAATTTGAAAATCTTAAAGAAATTAAATATGATTTTTTAAAATAAAAGTTCTGTTGAACAGCAAAAGAAACATAAGAGGCCAACAAATTAAAAATAAATAAAAAGCTTTTAAATCATATACAAAGGAAAATTTAACACTTAATCTGTTTATAAGGTTACAAGATCTTCAGATTAAATGGTTAAATTTAGCTTAACTAAATGGGGTAACATTATGTTATTACTACTTGAATATTAATCTTTTAGTCCGAGCTATTGTTGGTATGAAACTAGTTTTAATATTATGTACACTTGCTTTGTGCATATCAACATTATCATTCTCTGCTTCGAGAATGCCATCCAAAGATTCAACAATGTGTTGTACAATATGCAAAAGTACAGTTCTGCTTTGGATTTGGTGCAAAGGTAGTGTGTGTAGATTTTGTTTGATATCACTAAAAAGAAGTTATAGTGCAAGTGTACCAGAGGAAAGACAGAAAGTAACTTGATGCATTCGAGTGGAGATTTTGTTATACAACATGAATTCTTGTACGTGTAGGGTGTATAGTGATTAGAGAGAAGAATGTATTCAAAATTTAATTTTTCTACTCTGTTTTTTTTGTGAATGATTTTAACATCTTAAAAATCAAAGGAGTAATTAAGTAAGATACGTGTGGACTGTTCATCTACATTAAAAACTTTTAATTGCAAGCTTTCGGCCATCTTACAGAGCCTTCGTTGGACAACAACGTACTGAATAATATAAATTCGTTTATCTGTAGAACAATTTCAAGGCAGATGTCTAAGCAGTAATCCCAACAATAACTGATATTTGGTATTAAAGGAATTAGTTATACAGAAATTGTTTTGTACAAGTTTAAAACTTTATATGAAGAAAGCGTTATAATATTTGGCTATCAATTTAATCATATAATAGGTAAAAAATACTATATTTTGATCTAAAGCAAACTTTCACTTATAATTTAAAAAAAAATATTAAGTTATCGGATCTCTAAGTTTTATTGTAGATATTTCTGAAATAAATATAGCTGATTAGTACATAACTTTATACAATGAAAATCTGCTAAAGTGGTATTATTTCAACTTTCCAGAGCTCCAAATGAGGAAAACACAGGTTTGATCATTTCTTCAGTATACGTGTCAGAATAACTGGCTGTAGCTTGGCTTGGTAATAATGTTATAAGTAGGCTAAATAATCCAGCAATAACCAAAATCACACTCAAACCTAAACGAAACCTTTGGCGTAATGTTGCACTGTCCAAGTTTATAATTTCTTTACATAATCCGTGTATAAAGGATCTGCACTCTTTTCTGAAAGGAATGAAAGAAAGTGTTACCACACAATACAGTAAGAATAATTTAATGTAAGAGATGATGTTATCAAAATCATACTAACTTTACGTGATAAAAGCTAGATTCAGCATGTCAAATTTTCACAAGGTAATTAAACACATAATTATAAAGTAAGCCTTTTTTAAAATCATTAAATTTAGAAGAAGAAAAAAGAACTGATGGTAAGCTAGATCTTAAAATCTTAATGTATTACAAGTGTCAGAAATACAAATGGATTAAACAAGAGGACAAAAAACATTTTGGGTTATGAATCTTTAATGGTTTTCTGTGACAGCAATTACTTTGAACGTTTAATATAATAAAAAAGAAGGGAAAGCTAGCAGGAAATAACAAAAACAGCCAAAGTTTTATTTGAAGGGAGTTTGTGGTGTGTTTAAGAGTAGTTCAATATTTGTCAATAACAGTACTTCTTTTATTAATAATTCTAATAACAATTTGGGAAATCTTTAAAGTGATATGGTGGCTAGCGATTATAAATGGCAGATGTGCACAGAGTTGGTGGCTTTGAATGAGAAAAGTTGTGTTTACTTAAGAGAAAATGGAGGTACCATAAAGTTTGATATTTTTTATTAAAGGTGTTTGCAATATATATTTCATGCAGATTTTGCTTCAATGTTGAGTTTTCTCAGCAAACTTTTACTATCATCCCAAGTAACTTATCTTCATTACAGTTTTCTCAATCAATAAAACAAATATTGATATGCATAATTGGATTATTAAATTCTTAGAATGTTTTTTAAAAAAAAGTATAACTTTAAAATTCTGTGTTTACTGACAATACGTAGAACTGATAAACATGATTTTTAATGGGTAAGTTTCTTTAAATTTGGAAAGATGACAGTATGAGGTACCTCACTCCTTGCATTTGAAAGTACACATATTTTATATTAAACAAATACATACACCTTTCTATTCTTGACAGCCAAGTGTTCCTCCAATATTTCATCATCAATTATTTCTGAATCTTTATTTAGACTTTTGTTAAACCCCATGGCTTGTTCGTGGGAATAGTTTGTTGGGCCATCTGGTGAATCATTTTTAGAAAGGCTGGAAATAAATTGTCCAATTATTCCAAGATCTTAAATAATTTTAACTTGTATCAATTTAGTTTTCACACTCCAACCATAACTATCATTTGTTGTTATTTAAACTTTGTTACAATGACTAAAAAAAAATAATTAAATACATAAATAATGTTAAAACATTAACTCTATACTTACACCTTCATTACCAAACAGGTGATGTAACAACCAATACACTTTAAAAAAAGGGTAATTTTCTTTTTTTTACATTCACACCAATTTTTTCCTCAACTGTTACAGGTGACTTAGTGACAGACAATTTCTTGCAGCATATGTTGGTGAAAATGCACATACAGACAAACACACGTACACATTTGTAGTTCGAAACCTATCTGAGATTAATGAGGAATTACTCACTTTTAAATTATATGGCCTTTATTTCATTAAATTCACAGCTATGCCAAAGTTTGTAGTTCCAATAGCCAGTCTTATCTGAACCTTTTGGGCCACCATTTATGTTACATAAAGATCTCAAGCACAGTATTGTTTCATACTAAAGATTATATAGATGAAACTTGTGAATCTTGTTCATTTACTGTAGTTATTTTAATTCATAACTGGGTTTTCTAAAAGTGGGTATCATTCATTTATCCATGAATGCTGAGTAACATTGTTAGCTATCATTATGTAATCATCTCAAACTCAGAATAACATACAGTTAAGGTCTATAACAACACACACTGAAAACAAAAACTAATCAAACAATTCACATCTATAATGATACAAGTGCTTTCTCATATTAGCTACTGCTAGCCCAGCACAATTCAACCAATAAAAAAAACTTACATGTATGAAAATGTATAATTAGGTTTAGACAATCTCAGTCAATGGCTCTCACACAGTCTATATAATAATAGCCAAAATATATTCCTTTGTTAATATTCTATGCCTTGAACTTAGTAATTTTTCAATGAACTTCTCAGCATCTTGTTTAAGAGAAAAATCTTATCAGAGAATTTAGCTGATGCCTAAGACAAATGCATTTATATGTATGTCACAAAAGTATGTATAACTTATTATTAATATGTTCAATTAAATTTACAAAGTGAACTTGCATAGTTTCTTGTATAGGTATAATGCTGATTCCGAATGTTAACAGGAGGAAAATATGATTAATCATGGAGAAAAAAAAAACTTTTAATTTACAAAAATAAATAAATGTTGAAAAAGCATTTTTTGTCTCAAATAATAAAAGCACCTATTCCAAATGTTGAAATATTGTATTCAAATTCTATAGTAAGAATTTGGTTACCATCATGAAAAAAATACTTGGAATTCATTTAATCATAATATATCATGGCTTGAAAAAAAAAAGTTATCAAAGAACTTATGATGAAATTGAAAAACAGCTAGTTTCTTATTGTGAAAATAATAGAGCTTACTCAGGATTTTCCAACTCAGCTCCTGAAACATTATTACTTCTTAGCGATGTTTCCTCTTTTACTTCTTGTGTACCTTGAATTTCTTTTTTATCCATGCTCTTCTCACTTAGGTGATCTGTCACTGTATTTTTAGCACTGAAATGCATAATTTGGAACTTGTATAATTTTTCTATGTGAAACAGTTTGGGAAAAATCTCATCTTCATCAAACTTCCTTGTTGTATTACTTCATACAAACTACACTACTTAACTTTTGCTGAGGATAAACATTTTACTGATATCAGTAAACTTCCTGTCTGTGACTAACATCAAAGTTTAATTATTCTTTTCACATGTTAATGTGTTTTGTTGAACAACCTGGGAATGTTTGAGATGAGTTATGTCACATTATGTTGTAGAACACAAAAGATATGGAGGGTGTTCTGTCATGGAATCAGTATACAGGGAAGAAAATATCATCAAAAAACAGCACCCTCACAACAGTGGGCACAGAAATGAGATTCTCCATCCAATCATGAAACCTTATGCTGGTGCATTTAGAACAAACTTTGTTTCAGTTGATGACAATTTCCACTCATAACGACCAAGAATCATTATTTCTTATCTCAAACAGGAAACAATCGACAGATTAATTGGCCAACAAGATTTCTTGATCTGAACCTTATTGAGTGTGTTTAGGATATATTAGAAAGGGAGGATAACACCCAATCGAGGTCTAAGCAGGAGCTTCAGTACTCCAAGAATATGCTTAGCTACCACTATAATATATATATTAGATATAAATGGTACAGATCATGCCCAGGGAAACATTTTAACTGAATGTGCATGGGGTCAGTCCTGGACTTTGAAATTCCAAAGTCAGTCTGACAAGTTGGAGTGAAAGTTAATGTTCACATAAAGAATAAAAGTATTTTTTGTTCATTGTACATCAAAAGTTGTTTTTTTCAGTATCTATGTTTATTGTATCTAGTATTTTCTCTAATACACGTTGTTGCAAGGTAGAGTAACATGAAAAATTGATAAGTCTGACATCAATACCATGTTGAATGGTACTCTGTACAAGATCAGGGCTTGCACAATTTGACCACCACCTATGCACATAGGGTTAATAGCATTCATAGTTTTTAATTTTCACTAGAGGGATGTTGCTTTTCAATGTTATCAATGTCTCACTTTGTTCTGTTAGGTACAATTTTTCATAGGTTAAAATATATATATTAACACAATCAATCATTCAGTACAAGTCACAGTATGAAACTCCTCCTTTTTGGAAACCTTGATCCTTTGTAAAAATTGGATATATTTTTTACTGTATAAAAGAAAGACAATTGGTATTATTACTGAAAAGTAGCCCAACAGTTATCAAAGTATTTTACAAAAAATCACTTATTACATTCACATCATATGTGCACATCTACCTTAGAATTGAATTTTGTTAAAAAATATCTGAGAAGAAAAAGTTACAACTTTAGAAGTCTCCTTTTTTGAAAATAAACCAGGGAAATATGATAATCCAAAAGTAATCCATTAACTCATTGAATGATAGCCTGATTCAAATACTGTGAACAATTTGGGCATATTTTCTATTTTTCTACAAAACCTCTCTTTATCCTCAATTTGTGATCCATTTTCTTCACTGATATTATCTTCTTGTTCATCAAGTATAGAAGGCGACTTAGCAGATCCTAACGGAACAGAACTTGTGGTGACAGATGAGTTTACCGATCCTATGCTACTACTAGAAGACATAAGTGCTCCAGAGGGATGGCATTGATTATCCTATTAATGTGAGATAATTAAAACATTTCAGCAATATTAAATATTACTGGGCTTTGTACTAAACCACATTTTTCCGATACGCTAAAGAAACGAATATGAAAATAATACAGTAGCATTCTGAATAACACATTAAAGGATTGTGGAAATAAAAAACTAACAAAGTAAAAACAATTATATGGTTTCTCACAAAACACAGTTGTTTAACATTGGTTACTATAAGAGACAATAATAATCTTGTTTACAAAGGAGGCCCAGTGGCAATAGTATCTTTGTTTTTACACCTCATTTATTTTCATCTTACTTGAGTATGAACAAGAAAGTACAGCAAAAAATGATTTACATCTATAACTCTCGCAAGAATTTTCTCTAAAGCTGAACTTCGTTTGTAAAAAGATGGTATGTTTAGTAACATTTCTCCATAGTTTGACACAGGCATACCAACAACTAATAACATACCTCTCGTTAGTTTGACACAGGCATACCAACAACTAATAACATACCTCTTGTTAGTTTGACACAGGCATACCAACAACTAATAACATACCTCTCGTTAGTTTGACACAGGCATACCAACAACTAATAACATACCTCTCATGAATTTGACACAGGCATACCAACAACTAATAACATACCTCTTGTTAGTTTGACACAGGCATACCAACAACTAATAACATACCTCTCGTTAGTTTGACACAGACATATCAACAATTAATAACATACCTCTTGTTAGTTTGACATAGACATATCAACAATTAATAACATACCTCTCCTTACTTTGACACAAGCATACAAACAACCAAGTTACAAGAAAGGAACAACCATGCTGAAGCTAACACACACACTGGTTCAGATACCTAGAGACCTGCTCCACACAAACATTAATAAGATAAAAAGATCAACAAAATTTGTTATCTAAATCTCAAATACTACAAAATCTTCAACTACAACACATCATATCTGCTTTTATATTACATGTTTATCTTCCAATACTCAAAGCTAAAAATTCCTTACTACAACAAAAGTGCTATTATCATACTTATGTTCCAATACTCAAAGCTAAGAATCCCTTACCACAACAAAAGTGTCATTACCAACTGGAGATCGCTCTAAGAATGTTGGTCTGTGGAAAGTTGCAACACTGGCTCGTCTCCTACTTACCTAAAAAAGCAAAAAACATATATTTAACTGTATCAACTGCTGATTACTCTAGATCTTATTTAACCAACAAAATGTATTTCACTGTTTTTTTATATTTAAAGATGGGAATAATAAAACTCTCAGATAAGTATTCTGCCAGTTGTTAAATATCAGATGCTTTTGTCCAATCATATCTATGGCTATATACCACTGCATTGGATAGCCTGGTACCTTGGGTCATATCTATGGCTACATACCACTGCATTGGATAGCCTGGTACCTTGGGTCACATTTATGGCTACATACCACTGCATTCGATAGCCTGGTACCTTGGGTCACATTTATGGCTACATACCACTGCATTGGATAGCCTGGTACCTTGGGTCACATTTATGGCTATATACCACTGCATTGGATAGCCTGGTACCTTGGGTCACATTTATGGCTACATACCACTGCATTGGATAGCCTGGTACCTTGGGTCACATTTATGGCTACATACCATTGCATTGGTATATATATCATTCTTATAAACTGTGATTATCCCCTCTCTATACTGTATACAAACATGCTTGATGTGATAGAAAAATCTTTCACTGTACAGACACAGCATGTTAGATTTCGTAATTGTAACTGAAGCCTTTGAAATGGTTAAAATACACTGTTAAGTAACCATTGCTAAACACTATTAGTTAAATCACCTAATTACTAGTGAAGCTTAAAACATGCAGTTGTAAGTAGCCAATATTATGTATTATTAGTTAGATAATCTAATTACCAGAGTATCTTTTAAAATGTTTAGATTATAGTGTTTAGTTAACTATCAATACATATTTCTTGTTAGATAATCTATATATTTATGTTATAGTACTGTAAGTAATCATTACTATATATCATTTGTCAGATTATCCAATTACCAGAGTATCTGTTCAATTACTACATTGTAAAAGAGCTTCGTAGACAATTATGGAATCTTATTACCTGTTGGCTGCTTCTGTTGTAGTACTATATCTCCAAATGTTGAAAGTAAAGAACTTTAGATGAAAGGATACATGTAAGATTCAGGTAAGGTACTTTAGATGTAAGGTAAGATTCGGGTAAGGTACTTTAGATGTAAGGTAAGATTCAAGTTAAAGTACTGTATATGTAAGGTAAGATTCAAGTAAAATACTATAGATGAAAGAATACAGGTAAAATTCAAGTTATCAATTAATAATGTAAGATTCAAGTTATCCAATGAAGAAAAACTGCACACGAAACCTCATCAACCAAAAACACTTGAAATAGCAAAATTAGAGGTAATGTGGTTACTCATCTGTCTTCAAGTTTCAGGTCATTTAGTCAACAATCAGTTTTGTATTCTCAGGATTCCTCTTGGCTTCTCTGACCAATTTAAGCTACTATCAACAATAGGACTCTTTGCAATCGTACGAACAACTACAATGAGCACTATACGAGATTCTTAGATTTGCAGAGATGGTTACTTTATAGTAATAAGAGTGCCTGTATTTACATTATATAACAATGTGTTAAGTGAGATGGTTACTTTAAAGTAATAAGAGTGCCTGTATTTACATTATATAACAATGTGTTAAGTGAGATGGT